TATTTATTTATATATATAATTTATTATAATTTTAATTATATATAATAAATATTTAGCATGTGAAATATACATCCTAAAATATTAGTTACCATAAAATTGTGTCAAATAAATTAAGTAAAATTATATTTTTAGTAGGATTTAATTTAATTTTATTATTTAAAAGGTTCAATTTATTTTTTATTTTTAAAAAATATTGTCGCTCTTTTATCCAAATTAATATTAACGACATTAATAAAATTAGATGAAAGTTAAATATTAAAATTTTTTAAATTAAAGGACTAAATTGAATATTCTAAAAATAGTGAAATTAAATTAAACATTTTAAATTATTTAATTTCATCATTTAAATTTTAAACCATGATCAATATTATTCTTCTATCAAATTTTATTAATATCATTATTGTTAATTTGAACAAAAGAGCAACATTAAATATTTTAAAAAAAATTAGAGAACTAAATAAAATTATTTAAAAATAGTAAAAATAATTAAATCTTAAAAACAAATAAAGAGATAAATATATAATTTAATCAATAATTTATGATAAAGAAAAATTATTTTTAAAACAACATATATTGAGTTATTGAGGATGACGACTAAATTGTCCCGAATTTTCACTAAGAAAAAAAAAAGTAGGTTAACTTTGTAGCTCATCGCCAAAAAAGCAAACTATCCTCGGCGTAACAAATGTGACTAAAATCTATGCTAAAATAATTTACATAAATTGTGTGACATGATTTATGGGAATTTGATCTTTACTTAATAAATATTCCCCGCATGTTGGGCTAAGTTAGGAAAGTATTGATTTCAGCAAGCACTTGTAACGTGATCACCATAAATATGATTGACTCAAATAATAGTACACCAACGAGCATAGGCTCAGAGAAATGTGTTTTTTTGTTTGGCTTGACCAAATCAACCTATAGATTAAAAAAACAATAATTCAATCTATGGATTAATGTAAAAGGTTTTTTTATTTATTTTAAAAGTGAAAAAATATTTATAAATAATGCGAGTTAAATTTCGTCCCAAATTTTAGTTATTTAAAATTAATTATAACGTTTTTTTTTTTTTTGTACTACACTTATTTTTTCGTTTTAAAATAACTAAAATAAAGGGAATAAACCTGATTTGTCCAAGCAACCCATCGTTGAAGGTCAAAGTCAAAGTCATGACCACCGTCCAAGATTGAACCAAAGCCTTCTATATCCTGCCGTTCAAGTTAAAATGAGTTTAGCTCGTCGAAATTTCTTTCATCAACGATTAACTTATTAATATTATTAAGTTTAAATACTTTTTTATTCATGTAATTTGATTTATTTTCTCTTTTAATTTTTATAATTTAAAATATTTATAATTAATTTTTATATATAGTTTACTTTTTAGTTTTTATTATTATTATTTTATTAAAGTCATTTATATTGTGATAATATGTCAAAAATTACTTTGAAGTGATATTTTTAATGTAAATTTTTTTTATTTAAATATTTTTTATCTCTATAATTTTATTTATTATATTTTTCTAATTTTTATAATTCCATTTAGTTTTTGTTTTAGTTCTTCTAGTTCACAATATTTTTCTCTCAATACATAGTTTTTTTTTTCATTTTACTCCCCATCATTTATTTATTAACGTTGTTTCTTTTAGGATGAGGTGGTGAATACTACTTCCAAGTGACATTTCTAGCATAATTTATTTTACTTATTAAAGTTACTTTATATTATATTTTATTATTTAATTACAACAATTTTGTGCTCAATTTTAAATTGGGGATATTAAATTTTAGTTGTTCCTTTCTTATGGCTAGAAACATTATTAGAGTCAAAAGTGTAGATATTTCGGACAATATAAGGTTTGAGTTCTGAATAATACAATAATATAAACATGAGTCATTTTTTCTCAAGAGAAAGAGAATAAAATTTAGTGAGTAATGATAACAATATTTTTAATATTGTGTTTGGTTGTGAAGAGAGAAATAAGTAAGAAATAAAGTAGAGAGAAATATAGGAAGAAAAAATAAGAGTAGAAATATGATAAAAATAAGATTGTTTGGTTAAAAAGAAATAGGTAAAAATAAAAGAAAAATAATATTATAAAATTATTTGATTTAAATGAATACAAAATAAAAAAATTATGATTAACAAAAAATTATATTTTTACCCTTTTGTTATGTAAAAAAAATCGTTGCACTATATTTTATTAGAACAAACATATGTTTTATTCGAATAAATAACTCATTGACGTTTTATTTGAACAAAGGCACTTCCCTCCTCATAATTAATAAAAATTTATAATTTTAACTCACTTCTAAAGCGGGCCAACTCAACTGGGTCTATTTTGGGGGCATCTGGTTGCAGGCCCACATAGAAATAAAGCAGCCCTGCCCATTTTGATATTTTGGGAATTACTGTGTTTATATGAGTAGCTTGGGAGGTACACTTCCATCATCTTCGTTTATCTATCAATCCATCTATCTATCTACACAGTACACATAACATGGACACCAACACACTCTCACTCTCGTCACTTCTTCCTACTTTGGGTCTTCTTTCGTCTCAAAAGCCAACTTGTACTCGTTACATCCTTCCTTCACATAAACATTTTTTCAAACACTTTTCCTCCACTACTCGCACCTTCAAGTTCACTACTCCACAAGCCATTCTAAACCCCCCTACAGCGGTCACCACTCCCACTCTCACACAAATATGCCAACCGCATGTTCCTCAGCATATATTACAAAGGCAATTTCAAAACCATTTCCCACTTTATTTTTCGTCCCCGCATTGCTCTGTGCTCATCATTTGATAAATATGTTTCAGGATGGAAGAGATTGGATATGTAATGCCCACCGATATCCAAAGGGAAGCATTGCCTTACCTTTTTTCAGGGCGTGACTGCATACTTCATGCTCAGGTTATTTTTATTTTTCATTTACTTGCGTCCTGATCGATGTTGATGATTGTGTAACCTTATTTTTATTTCTTATTTAGACAGGTTCTGGGAAGACACTCACGTACCTGCTTTTGATCCATTCCATCATCAATGCTGAAAAATCCTCTGTGCAAGCCTTAGTTGTGGTGCCCACCCGTGAACTTGGCATGCAAGTAAGAATGTTTATGGGTCATAGTAGCTTGTTGATTATCCATAGTGCTACATAACCCGGGGGGCGAGGGGTATTTCCCTTTGAAAGTAAAATTACTGAGTGCTAAAAAAATTTGATGACAAGGTCACTAAAGTTGCTAGGACATTGGCTGCAAGGCCAACTGGAGTCGATGGGGAGCACAAGTCATGTTCCATCATGGCTCTGCTAGACGGAGGAACACTGAAAAGACACAAGAGTTGGTTAAAGGTAGAACCCTTTTATCTCGTTTCTTCAATGACGTTTATTGAATTTTATTGTATTTTTAACCAAATACATTTGGTGACTGACAAATGGTTACTGCTGCAATTTTTGCATTCCACTTAAGACTACAGGATATCCTCTTTTGTAATCTTTTATGGAGATTATTTGAGAGATAATGAATTTGCTTCTTGCTTCTCATATTTTCCTACTAGTCTGATTAAATTTTATTGACTCTTACTTACAATATCAAATGATCTACTGCAGACGCAATTCATTCATACTCTAATCTCTTACTTTCTTTTATATTATACCATTCTTTGGCATCCACAGATATTTACGGATGCAAAGTATTTTGAATTATATACTCAAATGTCAATTAATTTTAGGGTACTGATATTTTGGTATATGCTAGAACTACTAAAAATTATTTCACAGCTTAAAGTTAATTGAATTTGTTAAGCAGTTACAATTTTTAAGAGACAATTATTTACTGAGAATAGTTATCTATAATCTTGTAGATGTGGACAATTGGCCATAACAAGGTATAGAAAAACTATGCTCTCAGGGATATTTTAAGTCTTCTATCGACTGTTTGGCCCAATAAAATGTACTCTAAAACCTTACTGAAGTCCGTGAAATGGATTGCATTGTCTATATGTTTATATTGCAAATGATTAGTGGATGGGATGATGGGCATCACCGATCAGGCATCAATGACCAATTACTTATGTTCTGTTTTGTGTTTTTTTATGCTTTAGACCTTTTTAGGGAAATGGATTAAATTCCCTAATAGTGTGTTTGGATGAGGAATTTTACAAATTCAAGGAATTTTAAATTCTTGGTATTTGAATTACTTTGATTTCAATTTCTATCATTCTTAAAATATTTTGTTTGGATGAGTCAATTCAAATTTCTTAAATTTTAAATTGTTAGGTTGAATATGATAATTTTATTCCATCATAGTAAAATTAATTTTAAAAATATATTTATATGTTGAGATTTTTAAATTAAATTTTATAAAAATAAATATTAATCCATTTTTAAATATTTAATAATTTTAAAATTAATATTAGATAACATTTAATAATTTTAAAAATTAATATTAGATAATGTTTAACAATTTTAAAAATATTTTTGAATATCCAAATAATTAAAAGAATGAAGAGATAAGATAAAATATATAGGTGAAATAAGAAAAACAAATATGAAGAATTTCAAATTCTTCCATTCTCGGGAGAATTTGAAATTTTACTATTTTAAGGAATTTCACAAATGCTTGAATTTCAAATTCCTTGTAAATTCTTCATCCAAACAAAGCATTTCACCTCAAGGAATTTGAAATTCTTCAAATAAATGAATTACCCTATATAAATTCCTCATCCAAACACACCATAAAAGTCCATGTAGTCCTTAATTTTTGTGTAATGTAATATAGATAATTTTATGTTTTGAATATTATAAATTTGTAATAATGGAAGTTCTTATGAAAGTTGCTTATGACTTTCATATATGCTCTGTTTAACTTATTCAATAAGCTTCAAAAGCTTATCAAAATAAGCTCTTTTTTTTTTTTTTTTTTTGTTTCAATATGCTTTAGTCTATGAATTAACTCTTTTGATAATAGTTTATTGAATAACTTCTTAATTAAACTGTTTACCCAAATGCATCACAAACCTATATTACATGTGACGTGATAACAATATATGCTAGCTCCTATCGAACACTGCTTCCATTTACATTTATTTTTACATTCTCCTTAACTGGACACTGACATCATTATGTCTTATAAAAATTAGAGAAGACCCTTTTCCTGCTCATTTTGCTTGTTTAACCTCAAATTTTAGGCAGAGCCTCCAGCAATAGTGGTTGCAACAGTTGGGAGTTTATGCCAAATGCTTGAAAGACATATTTTTTCACTTGAAACTGTACGGGTGCTGATTGTTGATGAGGTAAATGTTTTGATCTGTAGATGCAAAAGCAAATTTCCAAATTTGTCTCGATTTCTCTGTCTCCATGTGTGTTTTAAAGTTAAAACATACGACTGCACCACCATTCAGCTATAATTGCATTTAAAAGTTTCATAATTTGGGCAAACGAAATAAATTAAAGGTAGTTTAAAAGTGTTTTTTAGCATATTAGATTTCATTAGTTCCTCATTTCCATGAGTGGAAAGAGGCATTCACACCTTTAGGAACTTACAAATTGTGAAATATGAAAATTACAAGACCTGAAATTATATAAGCGCTGCCAACTTCTGTTTTTCCTTCTACCCCTCAGTAATTTCATAAGTATTTATTTCTTATTATTTTTATTATTGTCTGCATAGGTTGACTGCATTTTCAATTCTTCAAAGCAAGTGAGTTCTCTTCGAAAGATTTTGACATCATATTCTTCTTGCAATAACCGTCAGACAGTTTTTGCCAGTGCATCTATACCACAGCACAACCGATTTATTCATGACTCTATGCAGCAGAAATGGACAAAAGTATGCTGAATTGCTGCTCCGATTATATATTTGTATTTTAGGTACCTTAACTTTCTCTCTGACTTCCTTATTTGTTTTCCAGAGAGATGTGGTCCATATTCATGTCAGTGCTGTGGAGCCCATGCCATCACGCCTATATCATAGATTTATAGTAAGAAATATAGATTGCTGAAGAAACCTTTTGTATTTCTAATTTTCTACCATGTAAAAAATTATGTGCCTTTCTCTTTTAATGCACGGTTAGCATGTCTGCCCTGCCACCCTTTAACCTTGGAAAGATATATATATAGAATTGTTTAAACTTCAATTACATCTTTTTGTAGGTCACTCATTTATTAAAGACCAACCTTTGGTATTATTAGCTAATTTCTAATGCTATTTCAATTATCAGATATGTGATACCAAAAGAAAATTACAAACCCTGTTATCCTTGATACAATCTGATGCACCTGAGTCTGGCATCATATTTGTTGCTGAGCAGGTATGCAAAGAACTTTCTCCTTCTCCTTCAATTAGATTATGCAATAACGATTTTGCATCAATTGGATTATGCAATAACAATTTCACATCAATTTGATTATGCAATCAGTAGGTCATATCCTTGGACTGGATGATATTTACTTGAAACATGTTACATTAGTATATGACTTACTTTCCTCTATAATTTTTCAGAGCATTAGTCCCAGCCATGAGAAACAGTTAAAAAAGTACATATTTACTGATAAAATAATTCTATCTGGTCTTGCGTAACTATTATCCAATGCATATTTCAAGCGATGAATCTTTCCTATGTTGTATTGGTATTTTGTGCTGGTGCTGTTGGATTAGTTATTTCTTCTTTTATTTTTTTTATCACTTTTGTCTGTATTCCCATTTGAAATTTATACTCGAGTAGTTGTTATTGTCATTAGTGCTTGAGCTGTAGAATAGTTTCTCAGATCAAGATTCTCTAAATTGCAATGTGCACTTAAGATAGTAATTGCATTGCTGATGACCATTAATTAAAATTTTGTTTAGTTTTGGACAAAATCACAAGCTCATGGATAGCAAACTATAGATTTATTATGACTATAATTTTCTCGATATTTTTTCTGGTGTCATTTTAGAGGATACTAAACCTTACATTTTTATGATCATTTTCCTGTAACACTGCTTTAAATCCATATTCATAGGACTTGGTTGCTTGTATTGATCATTATTTAACAGTTGGCACCTTACAAATTATGTCTTCATTTAATCTGTTTGACTCACCCAAGGTAACATGTTAAATGTTATCTATCATCTGATATTACATTCTCTGTTATGCAGTCTGAGAAGTCAAAAAAGGCTGGAAATGCTCCATCAACATCCCTTCTGATTGACTTTTTGAAGACATCATACCAAGGTGATTTAGATATCCTCCTCCTTGAAGACAAAATGAATTTCAATTCACGAGCAGCTTCACTGTTGGTAAGTTCCATTCAGTGGATTGATATTAATATGAGGTTTCTTTGGTGACCCCCTAATTATCTATCCCCGTGCATTATTGACCACTGTATTCTGCATCCAAATTCATTTTTACAGTCATCCTTCAGTCTTTAACTTACAGGTAGGTTTGAAATAAGTTTTAATTAACAAGTCACTCTTGTTCTGAAAGCCAAATTGTACTGGTTGGTTCTACTAGATTAACTGGGATTCTGTGGACCAGCAAGTATAGGTCTTCATAACACAGTCAATACTTTCATAAAACCTTAAAATACTAGTACTATTTTCTCTAATACTCCCTTTCCAATGCATTCTCTCCTATTGCATGAAAGTATGTGATTCTTACTAAATATGTGGCTCTTATATTCTCCATTGGTGGATCCCTTTCCCAAACTAGTGGGACCAGCATAAATTTCAAAAACTAATAGGAAGGAGCATGTTCAAAAGAGTGTTAGAATGTGTGTTGGTAGCACTCTTCAACCTTGACATTACTGCTTTGGGAAATAAGTTAGTAAACCAAACTTTAAGGGAACTCCCTATCATGAGTACTGGCTGAGGATGATATTGACCACAAGTGGGGAAACTTTACTTCAAGCGTTACCCCAGTCCTTTGCGTAATGTGTACCAGATTTTATTTCTTAATGTGACTGCTGTTGTGGAATTAAACCTTCTCATCAAAATTCTTAACCCTGGTACACAACCGTATGCTAGAAGTATACTTGTTTGGAGATGGTAGCATAAAATATATATTTTTTGATTATGAGTAAATTGCTAGTTAAAATTAGGGGGGAAATGGGTGGTAACAACAGTTTGCTGTCTCTTTGATTCAGGAGGTTAGAAAGGGAGGTGGCTATCTTCTTGTAGCGACAGATATAGCTGCTAGGGGAGTTGACCTTCCAGAAATGTCTCACATTTACAACTTTGATCTGCCAAGGACTGCTATAGATTATCTTCATCGAGCAGGGCGAACTTGTAGAAAACCCTTTTCTGACATCAATTGTACTGTTACCAGCATTATAGTTTCGGATGAGCGATTTGTCCTGCAGAGATATGAAAATGAGTTGATGTTTAACTGTGAAGAGCTTGTTCCATAAACCCTGGCTAAACTCTTTGAAATATTTTAAAATATCATATGGGCACTGATATAATGTTAAAATATCAACAAGTTTCTATAGAAAAACACAAATTCTGGACTATACCAAGATGGAATGGGTGCGTGAGATTTTGAAGGGAAAGACAAGGGAGGATAAAATTTTTATTTTTAAATTAAGTTATATTATGTATGAAAAAAAAAACTAGGACATAAATGCTTTGGAATGTGATTTACGGAAGAAGGATTTTGCTTAGACCGAAAAGAATGGGAAAACAAAATCTTCCCTTGGTTGTTTGTCGTTTACAGCAATGGAAGAAATCGTTGGAATGGGACTCGCTTCTATTTTCCTGCGATGGTAGCACTCGAACAAGAGACCACTTCGTCATTCTCTGGTAACTGCTATGTCCTTCAGTTCTTGTCTCTTCTTTCACCAATATCCCATATGTTTTGTATATTGTTGGCCATTATGGAGGAAAGTTGTAATTAAGGACAAACTTATCATTTAAACAAAAAAAAAGCTCTCTTTTTCCCTTTTTACTCATCCAAATTATAGGAGGGAAACTTCATCCTTTTTTCCCTTTTAATTTCTACTAAGAACAAAAAATTCTATTTTTTTTCTTTATTATCATGCATCTCTTATTTTGTCTTATTTTCTTTCTTCCTCATTTCTTCATTCATCCAGATTCCACAGCGTAAGTTTATTTCAATTTATTATTTAAAAATATATGAACATGCACAATATGTATTGAAAATGGAATACGAAATAAAAATTTTGCCCTCCCCCTCTCTTTGAAACTCAACTCTCAAACATTCTTTTATAATAGTGGCTGAGGAATTAGTTGCTGGAATTAGTCTCGACTTTCAGTAACATCTGAAACTGAAGGTTACTAAAGTATAAGACTTGAAAATATTTACGATTAAATCTACTTTTGGTTTCTATAGTGCTGTGAATGTGCAATTTTAGTCACTCAATTTTTTATTACAAGTTTGGTCTCCATAATTTTTAAAACTAAGTAATGTCATTCTACTTATTAACATGATATCCAAAATTAAAAGTTTAATTATTTTTTTGTTTTAATAGATTATAAAATTTAATTGAAATAAAAAAGAAGCAAAGCATATTTTAGTAAAAAGAATGGTCTTTGTATGAAAGTCAATATAACTAAGTAGCTGTTAAGTAGTGTCATTTATGGAAATATCAAAATTTTCTGTTTAATTTTTTATGAGATGTTAATGAGTACATTAATATTGCTTAATTTTGAAAACTAGGAAGACTAAATTTTCAACAAATGCTTTTGGAGAACCAAAATTACATGTTTGTAAAACTATAAGGACTAAAAGTGAATTTAAGACAAATGTATATTACCCTTAGTAATATCTGACAAAGAACATGTTTGGATTATTTTATATATATAATCATTATATTGAGAAAAAATAAAGAGTGAAAATAGAGACGAACTTTTTAATGATATTCTTGAAGTAACTTAGATCCTATTTTTCCTAGTGCCACCTAAATAAATTGTCTTGATTAATCAAATTTTTTGAGTGATTTCTCAACTATCAACTTCATAGTTCAATATACTAAAAAAAAAAATGATAGCTCAAGATGAAAGCTAGTCGTAGTTCTTTCCTGTTAGGCTAGTTCATTTGGATCTAAACATGAATAGGGCCATGTCAAAGCTTAGGCTGTAATTGGGCCCGTGCTTTGATTGTACGTTAGGCTGACACATAATATGGCAGTTCGACCAGCCATAGTAGAATCCTTGATGCTCAAAGCTCATTCCTTCCTTCATTTGGGTTCAGACTTAAGATAGTGTGAGACATTCAAGTATAAATAATAAGGTGTATATGTTTAACTGAATAAAAAATACGCTTGAGTTGATAATTATGATATATAATTACAAACTCAAGTTGTGCGGAATTGGAATGAGATGTGCGATATGCGAATTTATCTCTATCCATTTTGACAACATATTGAGACTTATTGCTTAAATGCTTTTTTTTATTTAAATTATAATTTATAAAAATCAAAGCATTCACATCCTCTAATTCATGGCAAAATGGGGAAAACAAGTCACGGACGAATTTATTATATGACGAGTCCATCTTCAATTACTGAGTTTTTCAATACAATGGTAACCCCAGAACGGATGTAAAACCCTTCTGAAGATCTATCAGCCTCTTGTATGCCCTGTAATTAATTAAAAAGCAGATTTAGTACATGTTTCATCATATGAAAAATCATCGCCTTGCTTGTGGTGTCAATGTATTTTCATTTTATTTTCTTTTATAGTTTAAAATATTGTTGAATTTTCATTACATCCCAGTAGAAAGAAAATGATTGCCTCACACTTACTGTGGGGGTTGTATGGGAAAATATGTTTTTTAAGCAAAATCTAAGTAAGGTTTAATTGTTATACAGTGATTTAGTGATTAATTGACAAAAAAAATCCGAGTATCATAACCCCAAATAAAGTTGGGTATCAATTGGTAGGTGTATCGCACTCTCTTGTAATGATGCTATGTAGTAGTTTTAGAAGCATACCTCTGAGTTTGCTATTACAACATTCTTTCCAATTCTAGCATTTTTGTCAATAATACAGTCCCTGCAGAAATGTGAGAAGTGAGCAAAGTGAGAAAAAGTAATTTTTAGGAGAGTGAGAATTGCAATACATACTTGATTTTTGTATTTTCTCCTATTCCTATTGGAACTCTTCCTTCAGCTAAGAGTGCTGACACTTCTGCATCGGTTTCATAGAAATCAGCACCGAGCATCACTGTATCCTGCATAGAAGGGAAACGCACTTGAAGTTATAGAACTAGATGAGCGCACACCTAAGAAACATACCAAATGCATATTCTACCAAGAATATTATTGTATTTCTGCTGAACAAAACTTTGAAATGCTTGACGTATAAATTTGAGACTTGCTACATAGTAACAACAAATCAGGTATATATGGCAAAGTTGATAGCGATATGCATTGTCATCTTCTATAATTCTTCAAATATACATGCTTAGATGGTAGAATTGGTACACCGAACCTTTAAATGAACATTTGAGTTTATTCTGGATCTGATTCCAACAACACTATGCTCTATGAAGGAATTATTCAAGAAGCTTCCGTGTGATATAATTGAATCAACAATCTGCATAAAGGACAAAGAACTACGTTATCGTTTGAGATTCGAAAGCAGAAAATAGGTAGTTGTCTGGTGCAGGATGGGACACAACAGGAAAGTAAATTAAAATGTTGAACATCCAACCACATGAATTCCTCAACATTAGTTGGCACTGCATGCTGAATATGAAAATATGGGCATGCAGCAGTATATTAATATATAGTTTTGGTTGTATACCTAACAAATTAAGTCCACCCTTCCCCATGCAGTAAGGCTTTGGTACTTCTAGTGTAAATTACTAAAAAAATCTCTCACGAACAAGTTTGAAGAACTGACCTTGCTATTGTCAATCTTTGATGGTGGTAAGTTTCTCCTTGATGTATACATTGGTTTTGCTGCATCGTAAAAGCTAAACCTGGGTGGCTGAAAAAGTTGCAGAAGTAAGATTTTCTGGGCAAGTAAGATTTTAGATCTCTTCATTTGGGTTCTTGAACCCATATTCTATGAAATCTCAAGGATTGAACAAGGAATATAGTTCTTTGAAACTAAAATGGAAAAGATGAAATGAAACATGTATATAGTTGAGAAGATTTTGAACTGAAAAGTTGAATTCATTTATTATGTTTACCTCTAGCACGAGCTTCCACTAATTACGAATGAACTTAACACATTCAAGTCATATAAGCTCAACTAGGTGATTTGATACTCACATGCTCAGTTAGGGCAAGATTTGCCTCAAAGAATGATCTGATGGTCCCTATGTCTTCCCAATAATCATTGAAGAGATAAGCCTGTATGCAAATTATCACACAATAGGTAAATCATAAGCCAAAAAGATTCCTTTGTAATGATTTTTTCCAGTCATACCTTCATGTAAAATTCTCTAGCTGAGGCAGGAATAACCTCTGATCCAAAGTCATTTGCCGTTGGAAAGCGCCATCTAAATTAAATTAATTCATAGCACTTAACAAACAAGCTTTGCAACAAGATCAATTTATTCTCAGTGCATAGTTCTGTATTTTTATAGAATATATTAATAGATGAAGTGAACCACACGAGAAAGCCTAACATTTTTCTAGATAATAGTCGGTACCTCAATAGATTTAGAAGTATCTCCTTCTTGAAGACGTACACTCCCATGGAAGCAATGTATGGTTTCTTTTGAGCCTCATCCTTCGAAAGGCCCAAAACGGTTGTATCTACTTGCTAAATTATACAGCAGTATTATCAGTGAGTCTAATTCTTGAAACTTTTTGGGGTATTAGCATTTAGCAGTATAAAAACATGAGGTTTACCATTGCTTTCAATTCTTCTCCTTTGGGCTTTTCACTAAATGAAAGGATCCTTCCTTTGTTGTCTATCTTCATCAGACCAAAATCTGAGGCACGGCTATCATGGTTGCACAATAGAGTTTAATACAGCAAGCTTAGATATTGATACTAATTATTGAGTCAGCTATTCTTTTGGGTTGATTTTCCCTCATGGGCCTTACTAGTTGTAACAAAGCTATAAAGAAATTCTAGTTTCCTTCTAAGCCAGATTTAGCTTGCATGCATTGATCGACTTGAATGTCTCATTCATTATATTAGCAAACAGAAAAGATCACTCGAGTGCCCAGGGTATGTGTGTTTGCTAGTCAGATACAAGAAAGAGAAAATGTGCCATGGTGATTTCAAGCTATAAATGTTGGTGATCATACCATTTTCTATGTTGAAATAATTAGAAAGTTACAATGTGAGGCAAGCAATCTACCTGTCATCCATTGGCAGACAAGATAGAGTGATGTCTGCGCCACTCTCCCGATGATTCTGGATATGAAAATGAGTCAAAACATCTGAGAGTCAACAATTTTAATACATCAACTGAATCAAAAGGTGGAAGAATTGTTTGATTGGATGGCTTGGTGCCTTACTTGAACAAAGTCCATATAGTCCATTCGGTAGAGGTGATCCCCAGAAAGAATCAAGACATCCTCAATATCCTTACTTCTTGGGTCCTACAACATGGAAGTATATTCTACATCACATTTAACACCCAACTCCTTGGCCTTTGTGTGATGAGGAAAGAAATAACAAGGAAAATAAAGCATAACAATAGTCTATAAGTTAAACCTTGTGATTAAAAATGGAAGCTTTTATATTCAATGTAAAGATTGGCTAACAAACCAGTTTTTTTTTTTTTTTTTTTATAATTTTTTTTTAAGTTTTGCATATAAAAAATGCGTCGAGAAAATGATTATCGACATTTGGTATAATTTTGTTTGTTCACATATATCTCAATATTTTCAACTCTTTCC